GGGAGGATTTTATTTGGGGTTTATCTTTTAACAATTTGACAGAGACACAACTTTAAAATTTGATTTAATTCGGTTTTATCGGGGGGGAATGTATTTATGTTTTGTTTTAAATATGTTGTGCGCCGCCCTGAGTCCCGCTGGGAGAAGGGCGGCATATAAATTAAATTTATTATTATTATTATTATTATTATTATTCTATTCTATTCTATTCTATTCTATTCTATTCTATTCTATTCTCTATTCTACTCTACCCTACCCTACCCTACCCTACCCTACCCTACTCTACTCTACTCTATTCTATTCTATTCTATTCTATTCTATTCTAGGCAGAGAGAGCCATTTCAGCAGCTTCCAAATCATGGGGGACACCATGTCTGTAAATGCTGATGCTCATGCTAGATAACACTGATGGAAGCTTAAGTTTAAAGGGTTGAACAACATCTGGTTGTCCTGGTTTTTTCCTGCTCTGGACCAAACCTTGAATTCAGTATGTAGGGATATGTTTAGGAAATTATGTAACTAAAAAAAAAAGGAATTAATCAAGAATGATTCACTTTCCAGAAGGGAAGGACCAAGAAGCAACTTTTCCTTTTAAAATTCCAAACAGCGCCATCAGTAAAAACTCATTGATTTTTACCTGTCCACACTGAAGTACTTTCCTTGCTCATTGGAGAGTCTTGGTGATTCATAATGTCTGGAGTAAAGAGACCATAAACAAGAGTTAGCTAGAGTAAAGGCCAAGAGCATCTGACCGTCCATCCATCCATCCATCCATCCATCCATCCATCCAGATTGGCTGCCAATCTCAAACAAATGACTCAGGATGATGAACAATCATAAAATCATAACTGTAGATAACCAGGAGATGGGGCCCTTCCCATACCCAGGCCCAGGAACATAAGCATTCAAGAATGTCAGGCCATCCTAATCTCTGAAGAGAGAATGTTCTAAGGATAGGGGCTATGACAAAGAAAGTGCATCTCCTGGTTTCTGCCAGCTGACTTTCCTTGGCTGATGGGACTCACCCTCTGTGCAATCACCAGAAGACAGATATTGCCTAGGCTAGGAGGGGCCCTCATGTTTGATCATCCAGCTAAAAAATGTATATAGTTCTCTGGATCACAAGTTCCGTAATTAGTCTTGGACAAACATCTGAATTAGGAATACAGATCAGTATACTACAATATAATAAATAGTTGACTTGAATTTCTCATGTCAGTTTTTATTATCAGGTCAACACAGCTGCAAGAGCTTGGCAACTAGTGTTTTACTGGAAAGCTACCTTTAGAAGTAAGATTGTTGAGATTATCAACATGGTGTCAAACTCGATCAGGTCATGTGCCGTATCGTGACGTATCGCGACATATTTTGCCTTTGCGGAGCTGGGATGGGCGTGGCCTGCATGTGAAGCATCTGGCCCGCGGGCCGCCAGTTTGACACCCCTGATCTAAAACATTTGCTGAACATGACTTGGTGTGAAGTCATTGAAAGGCTTTCAAGTGAAATAACAAAGCAGCATCAAAATATATAAGCATCGAAGAACAAAATGCCTCCACAGGAGGACCAAAGATAGCCATGGATGGAAGCCTATGAAGTAAAATGGCCCACAGCAACCAAGCAACTAATTTCTCATCACTCCATGGTTTTAGGGGCATTGAGGATTCAGTCAACTTCTTAAGGAGTCTGAGGAAGGAACACACTTTCTGGATGCAGGGACCCTGAAAAGTCCTTTCCTCAGTTTTACTAAGCCGAGAAGGCAGTAAGGAACACTCACACCGCACACTGGGACAAAACCTCCATCCATAAATACTGGAAACTAGGGGGGAAATCACATCTATTTATTGCCTGGGAGCTAAGAGAAGATAGCAGGTCCAGTCTGGGCAACAGCCCATAAAATACTATGGCTTTGTGTGACATGCATTAATAATCCAGCTTTTACAGAATTTCCACAAATTGTTCCCTAAACCTTAAATTTAAGATTATAGCATAGAGCAGGGATCCCCAACCTTGGCCACTTTAAGACTTGTGGACTTCAACTCCCAGAATTCCCCAGCCAGCATGGCTGGCTGGGGAATTCTGGGAGTTGAAGCCCACAAGTCTTAAAGTAGCCAAGGTTGGGGACCCCTGGCATAGAGTAATGCAGACCTTTGATACTGAAATCTTTGCACTGACACCTCCTTGACTGGTTCCACCAGCGGCTTTTGAGATGCTTCTTCACGATATCTTGGTTCCTTGATTGGTTCCATCAGAAGGTCCTTAGATGTTTCTTCCTGATACCTTGGTTCCTTGATAGGTTCCATCAGAAAGTCTCGAGATGCTTCTTCTCGATACCTTGGTTCCTTCCTAGGTTCCATCAGAAAGTCTCGAGATGCTTCTTCCCGGTAACTTGGTTCCTTGATAGGTTCCATCAGCAGGTCCTGAGATGCTTCTTCCCGATACCTTGGTTCCTTGATCGGTTCCATCAGCAGGTCCTTAGATGTTTCTTCCCAATACCTTGGTTCCTTGATCGGTTCCATCAGCAGGTCCTTAGATGTTTCTTCCCGATACCTTGGTTCCTTGATCGGTTCCATCAGCAGGTCCTTAGATGTTTCTTCCCAATACCTTGGTTCCTTGATTGGTTCCATCAGCAGGTCCTTAGATGTTTCTTCCCAATACCTTGGTTCCTTGATTGGTTCCATCAGCAGGTCACGAGATGCTTCTTCACGATACCTTGGTTCCTTGATAGGTTCCATCAGCAGGTTTGGAGATGGTTCTTCCTGGTATCTTAATTCCTTGGTTATTTCCACATGAGTTTTGTGAGATTCTTCTTCCCAAAACCTTGGTTCCTTGAGCGGTTCCAGCAGTAACTTTTGAGATGTGTCTTCCTGATAGCCTGGTTCTTTGATTGGTTCAAAGAGCAGATTCTGAGATGTTTCACCACCATATTTTGGTTCTTTAATTGGCTCCATCAGAAGATTTTGAGATGTTTCTTCCCAATGCCTTGGTTCCTTGACAGGTTCTACCTGTGATTTTTGAGGTACTTCTTCTGGATAACTGGGTTCCTTTGCATAGTATATGGTGTCCTGTCCATTCCATCCCTTCCCGTTTTCTATTTCTTGTAACTTTCGCTTTTGCTCCACCTGTAAAACTCCTTGTTGTTGTAAGCTGCTTCTCGCTAGCTCACTATCTTTCCCCTGATACTCCGGCCTGCTTTCCTCTTCCCAATTTCTTTCAGAATTAAGATGATCAGTCTTGTTACTTCCATTTCTTTCCCACAGAGAAGTTGGGATCTCCTGTACACTCCCGGTTAGAGCAGGGCATGTCTGTTCCTAAAAAAGAATACAAGTTTTGAAGAAGTTAAATACAGAAGAGAAAGTTAGGTATGTTTTGCTATGAATTGAGGTACACATGATCGGTCTTTCATTGGAAAGATAGTCCAGGTAGTTACAGAGATTTGGGTCAATGGATTTTAAAAAAAAATCAAGCAAAAGGTATTCCATCTGTTTTTGGAGTTGACTTTATGTCGCTTCAGACCATCCAGGTCTCTAGCTGATTGTCTACATAAAAAGCAAATTCTGTTCCTATGCAGAGGATTTTCCACCATAGTGGTAGTCCTCCACTCACAGCCTTTGTTTAGTGATCGTTCGAAGTTACAACGGCACTGAAAAAAGTGACTTATGGCCATTTTTCACACTTATGACTGTTGCAGCATCCCCATGGTCGTGTGACTAAAATTAAGACACTTGACAATGTGAAGTTCTAGTACCACATTATAAAAAAAGTTGTTGAGACTCTGGAAAGAGTGCAGAGTACAGCAGCTAAGATGATGAGGGGACTGGAGGCTAAAACATAGGAAGAGAGATTGCAGGAATTGGGTATGTCTACTTTAGGGGAAAAAAAATCTAGGGGTGACATGATAGCAGTGTTCCAATATCTGAGGGGTTGCCACAAAGAAGAGGGGTTCAACTTATTTTTCCATAAGCACCTGAAGGCAGGACAAGAAGCAATGGATAGAAACTAATCAAGGAGAGAAGCAACCTAGAACTAAGGAGAAACGTCCTGACAGTTAGAACAATTAATCAGTGGAACAACTTGCCTCCAGAAGTTGTGGGACTGGACAGCCACTTGTCTGAAATCAGACAGGTACCCCTCAACTTACAACAGTTCACTTAGTGACAGTTCTAAGTTACAACAACACCGGAAAAAGTCAACTATGACCATTTTTTCACACTTATGACCATTGCAGCATCCCCAGGATCATGTGATTTACATTCGGATGCTTGACAACTGACTCGCGTTTAAGGACAGTTCCAGTGTACCAGGGTCATGTGATCACTCTTTGTGACCTTCTGACAAACAAAAGTCAATGGGGAAAACCAGATTCACTTAACAATGGTGTCACTAACTGACACTTAACAACTGTCTTACTTAGCAACAGTAATATTGGGCTGTGATATGGTCCTAAGTGGAGAATTACCTCTACCCAATTATTATTATTATTATTATTATTATTATTATTATTATTATTATTATTATTATTATTATTATTATTATTATTATTTCTTTCTGAATATAAATATCAGGGACTGAACCTGATAATCTTATGCAAAAGTGCACGCTATGGGACCAAACGCATCTTATAGCTCGATTAAATTAACATTATTTTAGGCTAGCTGGCTGAAGCCAGAAAGAATCAAAGAATCCTGTATCTTTCAAAGATGAATTTGCCCAAATCCATTTGAAATGAATAAAGTTGTGCATCCAAAACAAACGAACCAACCAGTATTTTCTTTAGATGGGTCTTTCTGGGGTTCTGTCTTTCTGCCAACTAATGTTAACTGCATTTTTAATCTGTAACATCTGGTGTAACTACACCGAATTCAGTCAAGTATTTCAGAGGGTCCCTTCCATTGTTTTCTCTGCATCCTTCTTTTGGAGTTTATTTGTAACACATGCCTGTGAAGATCATAGACCATAATAGAATAATGCAATAACAGAGTTGGGAGGGACCCTGGAGGTTTTCTAGTCCAACCCCCTGCTCAAGCAGGAGAACCAGTGCTTTTTTTCTCATAGAACGCCCAGAACGGAGTTCCGGCAACTTTTTTGGATGGAACCTTGTAAGGTAGGCAAGGCGGGTTGTATGATGTGTGTGAGTTCCGGCACCTTTTTTTTTTTTTTTTTTAGAAAAAAAGCACTGAGGAGAACCTATACCTATACCAGACAAATGGTTGAACAACCTGGCCCCCTCTGCCTTGTGGCAGCCCCTCAGATACTGGAACACTGCTATCATGTCTCCCCTATTTCTTCTTTTCTTTAGACTAGCCAAACCCAAGTCCCATAGCCATAGACCCTATACCATTCCAGACAAATGGTTGCCCAATCTCTTCTTAAAAGCCTCCAGTGTTGGAAAACCCACAACTTCTGGTGGCAGGTCGTTCCACTCTTTGATTGTTCTCTCTGTCAGGAAATTCCTCCTTAATTCTAGGTTGGTTCTCTCCTTAATTAGTTTCGCATCAATGCTTCTTGTCCTGCCTTCAGGCGCTTTGGAGAATAGCTTGACCTACCCCTCTTCTTTGTGGCAGCTCCTTACATATTGGAACACTGCTCTCAATGTTAGAAGAACAGAAGTTCTCCTAATTTTAATTTTCAACTCTACCGGTGCCTGAGAACAATTTGGCAGACTTTGGCAGCTTTCATAATTTTTATTGGCAGCTAAGGAAAGACAAAGAGTTTTCTGCTGGGTTTGTGCTAACTGCCCAGTTCTCTTGGCTACCAAAACACTTTGCTTTTTTTTTTTCACCTTTGCGGTTTATACTTTGTCTACATTCAGCTTTTCTTCAACAAAGGAACAAGGCTGGTCTGTGCTTCTGCCTTCCAGGTGTATTGCTTTAGAAATGGCCTTGACAAGCTCATGCAATTTTTGCCTTTCTGCAAGAGAGGTCAAACTGCAAACTGGCTGAGCACTGACCTCCTTTAAGTAACTGGAGATGTCTTTTTCTGCCTCCCGCTGGGCTTTCAGCCATTCGTCCTTAAGCTTCTCTTGCTCACGCTTGTACTGCTCCTGATGGGAAGAAGCAAACCAAGGCAAAATCTTACAAATGCAAAGAGAAACAAACTCCAGGAAACAGGATGTTTTCCCTGCCGACTCACCCACCAAGGCATTCCCTTTTTTATAAGCAACACCGTGCAAAGGATTGGACTAAGGAACGGACGGGAAGGCAAGGAAATTAAACACATTGAGACGAGATAGAAGTCTCTGTTTCCAGCCATTTTGGCCTCATTGGCTCTTGCTCCACCGTGGTGGCGCAGTGATTAGAATGCAGTATTGCAGGCTAACTCACTGCTCACTGCCAGGAGTTCGATCCTGACCGGCTCAAGATTGACTGAGCCTTCCATCCTTCCAAGGTCAGTTAAATGACCCAGATTGTGGGGGGCAATATGCAGACTCTGTAAACTTAGAGAGGGCTATAAAGCACAATGAAGTGGTATATAAATCAAAGTGCTATTGCTATTGCCGCACCCCCTTTCTCAAAGGAAATGACAGTGGCCTTTTTCCTATCACCTGGCACAAACCCTTCGCACGCACACTAAACAAGTTGTACAACTACCCCAGAAGCAAACCACATCCATGTTGCAACATTTTCCCAGGTACACTCCCAGCCTCATCGTTGTGGGCCATTTTTCTTTCATTATCATTTTTATATGGTCCCTCCCACCTTAATATATATATATATTCTTATTTGGAGTTTTCTCTTCCATTTTACCATCCTGCCAAGCATCCAACACTAGTTTTACTACTATTTTCCCCCACAACATTTTAGCAACTTTCCCACAAATGCTTTTCCAAAAGGCAACTGGACTTTCTTGGTTTTCTTCCTTTGAAAATGTTTTGCTTCTCATCCGAGAAGCTTCTTAAATTCTGAAGAATTGAAAAAGCTTCTTGGATAAGAAACAAAATATTTTCAAGAAAAAACAAAACAAACAAACATGAAAATTCAGTTGCCTTTTGGAAAAGCACCTTTGGGACAATCATGACCTAGATCAGACATGTCAAACACAAGGCCCAGGGGCCGGATGTGGCCCGCAAAGTGGTTTCATGTGACCCATGAAGCCATCCTGGAAACAGTGAGGGAACGGCCCCTGCTGCCTTGGCCCTGGCCCAGACCAACTGGGAGCCAATGTACAATTTTGTGGTGGCCATCTTGGCACTTGCCCTGGTGGACCATGCCTCGGCACTTTCCCCGGTCCCACCCACTTCTGCCAGAGACCCTCAGATCTGTCCCACTCCTGCCCAGGCCCCCATAGGCACCCTTGACACGAATGATGTAGAACTGGCCATGCCCACCCAGAAGGCCACACCCACTCCATCCACGCCCACCCAGTAGGCTGTACCCACTCTGGCCACACCCACCCGGTCCCCCAAGGGCAACCGCAATGCTGATGCGGCCGTCAGTGAAATTGAGTTTGACACCCCTGACCTAGATGATTGAGAATCTCCATAGACATTTAGCAACTTGTAAGACCTGGAATATGTAGTAAAAATGCTATGGAAAGCCTATGTTTTGCCCTTGAAACTCCTCCCTCTGAGGGGTCCTCAGTTCTTCCTGAGCTTGGTTGTTTTCTTACAGACATTTCATTACCCAAACTAAGTAACATCATCAGTGCATTATCTAGTTTGGGTAATGAAATGTGTGCAAGAAAACAACCAAGCTTGGAGAGCACCAAGGAGCCCTCATTTCAATCTTGAGCTACAAATATTCTCCTTTATTGACTCTTCTCTCTAGACCAGGGGTAGGCAACCTTGGCTCTTTTATGATTCGTGGACTTCAACTCCCAGAATTCCTCAGCCAGCCACGCTGAGGGGAAAGGGAGAGGTTTCCAAACTGAGCTATGCTGGCTCAGGAATTCTGGGAGTTGAAGTCCACGAGTCATAAAAGAGCCAAGGTTGCCTACCTCTGCTCTAGACAGATCTCCAAGATCTATGAAGGACACTCAGCCACCAAAACATCCTGGCTTTATTTGGGCAAAAATCCTTTGATGGTTGCTAAATGTGTAACCAAGTGCACCTGGATAGAATCACCCTGCCAGTAGCTACCTAAAGTAGCACGTTGGGGCAGGTTTTCTATCCTCAAGTGTTTCACCTAGAAGAGAGGCCCTGAGGGAGGGTCGGCTTCCAGACATGTTTTAGTCAGGGTGTTCTGCTCCAAGAGCAGAAGCAGCTCTAGCAGGAAGGACAACCGCACAGTTTACATCCAGACCTGGAGTAAGCGCTCCTGCTCTGCTTGCCATTTCTCTTGCCTTTTTCTTTCTTCTTCTTGATCCCAAGTCCAACGGCTGGGAGCCGCAATGGGTGGGACAGGGAGCTGAAACAAGAAACAAAAGGTTAGCAGGCCCAGAGGGTTCTCTGTAGATGGCTGGTGAAACAGGAGTTTTCCTATCACTTTTTGATAGGACAAATTGGGTGCTGAACCCTTTGCAGAGCAATAATCAACAGAATAACAGAGTTGAAAGGGACCTTGGAATTCTTTTAGTCTAGCCCCTTGCTCAAGCAGGAGACCATTTCAGACAAATGTCTTTTTAAAAAGCTCCAGTGATGGAGCACCCATAACTTCTGCAGACAAGTCATCCCACTGATGAATTGTTCTCACGATCAGACAATTTCTCCTTACTTCTATGTTGGTTCTCTACTTGATTAGTTTCCATCCATTGCTTCTTGTCCTGCCTTCTGGTACTTTGGAGAATGGGTTGACCCCCCTCTTCTTTGTGGCAGCCCCTCAAATACTGAAACACTGCTATCCTGTCATCCCGAGTCCTTCTTTTCATTAAACTAGACATACCCAATTCCTGCCACTGTTCTTCATATGTTTTAGCCTTCAGGGAATAAAGCTTCCCCTCCAATTCAACCCACCTGGAATCCAGTCTAGCCCTCTTGATGGGAATGGAGAGGGGAGGGAAAAACTTTGGGGAACAAATTGTCAAGATGATGGAAGGAACATCTGCCTCTCCCAGGTCCTTGGGAAGAATTTGATAGGTGGATACAAATGCCAACTCTAGCCTAACCATCTGGCTGACTAGTTGATAATAATAACATGTAACAGTGATACCCATTGTCATCGGGGCACTGGGAACTATGTCCAAAAACTTTGCAAAATACATCAAGAAACTGCAGCTTCCTGCAATAACTCCAGCAATGTTATAAAAAACTGTGCTACTTGGAACATCTTCTATTTTAAGGAGGTACCTTGTTGACACCTAGGATGCTGGTAGCAACCCGTGTCAACCATCAGCGCCAGCCAACTTGAATGTTCAGTTGACTGAGATGCATGTCTAATGAATAAAAGATAACAATGATAATGATAATGGAGCATTACTTACATCAAGTATTGCAGGTTCCTGACCTCCTGGGTGATTTATGAAAAAAAGAAGAACAAGAAGAGGGTGGAAAATCTTTGTTACTCTTATCTGGAAGAGATCCTTTCAACCCAAACCAGAAGGCTGCCCTGGAACCACCCCTTTTTTGGATCAAGGACTCATCTAACACGTTCCAACAGGCAAATATTTCTTAAGGTCATAAAAAAAGGAAAATCATTATACAGGTACTCCTCGACTTACAACAGTTCACTTAGGGACCATTCAAAGTTACAACGGCACTGAAAAAAAATGATTTATGACTGGTTTTCCACACTTAAGACCATGGCATCATCCCCAGGGTCACGTGATCAAAATTCAGCTGCTTGGCAACTGACTCATATTTAGGATGGTTGCAGCATCCCTGGATCGCCTTTTGTGGTCTTCTGACAAGCAAAGTCAATGGGAGAGCCTGATTCACTTAACAACCATTTTACTCATTTAACAACTGCGGTGATTGTTTAACAACTGTTACAAGAAAGGTAGTAAAATGGGGCAAAATTCACTTAACAACTCTCTCGCTGACCAGCAGAAGTTGTCGTAAGTTGAGGATTACCTGCATTGGTTTTGTACATACATGGTGAATTGCACATTTTTCTAATCAAGTCTGCCATATGTAGACAAAATAAAGTATTGATGGTAACCTCCTTGATTATTATGCCAGTACACCAAAAATAAACTCTGAGAAGACAGTTCAAAAAGAAGATTTCCAAGAATGCTACGGTAGTATACTGTTTTGTTGGGGAATTCACATTCTTGTATCATTTCCAACTATTTCTTCTTTGCAAAACTATATCCCAGTCCCCAACCAATCAAAAATGTGTGGTCTTCAAAAACAAACATGTCTCACCATGTTTGGCTGATGGGGACTAATCTAGAATTTTGAGCAATTTGGAAGAAATTGAGCTGAGTATATTTATTTATGAAATCACTGTTGCAATGGCCACATTCATTGAGTCAAAGTTCAAGGCTAACAGATAAGTAGTTTATCCCAAAACATTCATATGAGACAGAAATGGAATTCAGCCCCAGCGTTCCAGCTGACTCTTGTCATATATTTCTCACATGAGGTACCTCATGGAAAAATCCCAGCCCTGAAGAGGCACAAACTTCAAGAGCTGTTCATTTTATAATCCATTTTCTTTTATTTTTCCAGAATGGATAGCTTGGGACACACACCTGGCCCTCTAGCCCCAGATCCAGGGCCTCCCAAAATTCTTTGTGGTACTGCACTCTATGGTTTTCCTGCACAGACCTGGACTTCGTCTTTGCCCCCTCCTGCAGCGTCAGCCCTCATTTTCCCACTAGCCTGAGTCACCCCCTTGCCTGGCCAAACTTTCCTTCCCATGGCGGACATTTTGAGAAACAGTGTTGGCATCCATCTTTGCTTTTCCACAAGTGCTTCCCAACTGACTGTGTTAAAATTATATTTGAACTTTTAGGTGATCCTGCTTGCAAAAACTTAGGGATGTGATATTCTCTTCTCTCTCTCTCTCTCTCTCTCTCTCTCTCTCTCTCTCTCTCTCTCTCTCTCTCTCTCTCTCTCTCTCTCTCTCTCTCTCTCTCTCTCTCTCTCTCTCTCTCTCTCTCTCTCTCTCTCTCTCTCTCTCTCTCTCTCTCTCTCTCTCTCTCTCTCTCTCTCTCTCTGTGTGTGTGTGTGTGTGTGTGTGTGTGTGTGTTCAACTGGCCCAGAAAAACTAAACTAAAAACAGAGTCTCAAACAATATGCATTCCTTATGCAAAAACCTGATACTGGGGAAAAGATTGCACAAAGAAGTCAAGTTGCAGTTTTCTGCTTTCCTTCCTTCCTTCCTTCCTTCCTTCCTTCCTTCCTTCCTTCCTTCCTTCCTTCCTTCCTTCCTTCCTTCCTTCCCTCCCTCCCTCCCTCCCTCCCTCCCTCCCTCCCTCTCTCTCTCTCTCTCTCTCTCTCTCTCTCTCTCTTTCTGTCTTTTGTGATAAAGTTACATTCTGCATTTAGGGATTTCTAAAGACCCTGCCAGCTTGCGCACAAAGTCTTGCTATAAAAGAGCGCCTGGGAGAGATGCTGAGGGCAAGATATGGTTAGGACTAAGACGGGCCTTTCATCCTTTGTATGGAAACATTATTCTGAAGAAACGGAGACAATGGTAAAATAACATTGAGGAAAAAAGATCTTTGACTAATACATCATACAAACATCAGTGAGAAATATTGTCTTCATCACTTCAAAACATTCCACATATAACAAATAAAACAAGCATAGGTTTCTGAAGTGAGGGTGAAAAAGGTGAGGTGTGGCATGCAAAACACACTCCTAGCAGCTTTTAAGAACTCAGGATTCCTGGCCCAAAACACTTCCTTTAGTTTTTGAAGGATTAAAATCGTCCCATGGAGATAAGACATCTATTCCTTAAGCTGGCTATTCCACATGGATGCACCAATTGTAATAATAAATATGACTTTTAACATTGATCATTTCTTTCAGCCTGGTCATTTTACATAACACAGGTTTGCTGAATTCCAGCACGTAGGAGAAAAGATTACGAATCGAATTAAAATATGTCGTACTACATTTGGTGCTCACTACGAACAGGATTTGAACTTATCAAGACTGTCAAAGGTTTGAGGGAAAAGGAACACACAAATCCCATTACCACAAAGATACACCCATGAATTGTAAAGGGAACCTGATGCTCCTAAGGAAAAGAATGGAAAGAGATTAAGAAAGTTGGCGTGATAGAACCCAACACCAAGACTGATTAAGAGAAGGCAGGGGAGGCACAATTTCATGAAATTACATGAAATGTTAGCTTTGGGGGGAATACTGATTGCTTTTACCTTGTTCAAAAAACTGGGATCGCCTTTTTAAGTTTTTCAAAGAAATAGGTTCTGTGTCTATTTGGAAAAAAATACGGAGATACAAACAGGTCAGTGTGGTGTGGTCTGATTTTAGTGAAAATATCCAAGGTATTATTGTTGTTGTATGGCATTGTTACAGTGGCCAAGAAACCACAATGCTATTGCAGAGTAATAGTTTGGCTTGACAAGGTACCAGTCCTGCTTGCGTGCTTCCCAAGGTGCGCCACAGAAGGACGGGTTGGCTTTGTACCAGAGTGAAAGATGAGCGGCTCGTCCTGCAGCATCATCAAAGGCCCTCTTCCTTCCCAGAGCTGCCTCACAAGCGGGCACCACAATCGGGAAGATTCAGAGCCATCTGGAATCTGACTGCCTGCACAGCGCACCAGTTCGTCTCCCCACCAAAGTGGTACCTATCTATCTACTTGCATAGAACATGCTTTTGAACTGTTAGCTGGACAGAAGCTGAAGCGAGTGACAGGAGCTCACCCCACCATGCAGTGCTAGGGCTCGAACTGCTAGAGCTGAGACTATCTCCAATATCATTAAGCCACTGGGCCACCGTTCCTCTACATTGACAGGCATTGGCTTGACTGCATTCAAACAAATGGGTCATCACTTTGGGGATAGGGGGACCTGATTTTTCAGAGCCTAAATCAAACCTCTGCTCTTCACTAACCCAGACCCACTGAAGCATCACCAGATCAAAGCCAAACCAGCAGTTCCTGCAACCGGGTAGGTCCGAGTAACAATTTTGCCCTAGCAAAGTTGCCTGACCCCAATGCCGTTCTCAGCCTAAACCACTTGTAAAGGAGACTATTTGTAGCTCAGGGTTGAAATGAGGAGTCCTTGGTGCTCTCTGAGCTGGATTGTTTGTTTGCAGATGTTTCATTACCCAAACTGGGTAACATCATCATCAATAGTAGAGTCACTATTGATGATGTTACCTACTTGGGTAATGAAACATCTGCAAGAAAACAATCAAACTCAGAGAACACCAAGGACTCCTAAACCCCTTGATGTGCTAACTCTACACAGGGTCTTGAGCTCTTTGGAGGACAGGCAGGTCTTCTCAATCAACTCCTTTTCAAATTTTATTCATTGGGAAGGAGCTCACCCCACTTTAAAGAGGTTTTCCAGGCCAGCAATAAGCAGGGGAGAACTGCATGATGGTCACTCTTAAAGATCCCTCTGGGATGGCTGCAATTTTGCTCCCAAGCTATACTGAAAAGAAACAGACCTCTGCTCTCTGACCATCATCCACAGTTCTAGCAGACAATGCAGGCTAGTATTAGGTTACAGCTTATATTTTCCTTCTTTTATTTTCCAATAAAGGCTAACATTAAAAAAGAAGCCCAAATCTTATAAGGCACGCAGACAAATATACTTGGCCAGGAGGCAGAGGTGTTTTTTTTTAAGCTTGAAGACTCCTTACCCATTCTTCTGGAAGAGGCAGTTAACCTGCCCAGCAGGTAAAAATGACGTCGGAAGGCAGATGATTCAAAGCAGGTAAAAACCTCTCCTTTTGCTATTGACTTGGTGCATCTCTGCCTCGTTTGTATTTCTAAAACCACACTGTGTTTTTATTAGCAGCTAATGATATTTTATTTTATGTACTTTTTATAGATCCGGTCCCTTTCTGCGGCTTAACTAATAGTAAGCTCTCCTACTTCAAGTGCACTGTATAGTTTTACCTTTTTGTTCACAGCAGCGGGCATCATCCTGCATTCCGTTGACTTTTGTTTCGGAACCCTGGAAACAGAAAATTGGCAGAGGATGGCTTTAATTTCTTCCACTTCCAGAAGGTAATACCTGACTTTGACTCGTCTGACAAACCAAACCACCAGCTACCTTGCTTCTCTCCTTGGTTAGTTTCCAACCATTGCTTCTTGTCCTGCCTTCTGCTGCTTTGGAAAATAAGTTGACCCCTTCTTCTTTGTGGCAGCCCCTGAGATATTGGAAGACTGCTATCATGTTATCCCTCGTCCTTCTCTTCATTAGACTAGACATACCCAATTCCTGCAACCTTTCTTCATATGTTTTAGCCTCTAATCCACTAAGAACTCCTTGCCTTCACTCTGGCAGGATTGGACACCCCCTTTATGGACTGTTAATGACTCTTTGACCAAGCACAGACCCACCATCTGATTCGGCTGCCCACGTTCTAAAGCTAAAGTCTTGTAGCTTTGCATTAGAAATGCTGTTCTTTGGCCTCGTGATTTATTTATTGGAATTTACAAATAATCTACATTTTATATTATATTAAATAAAATGTTATATATTAAATGTTATTTAATATTTATTAAATTTATATCTGCCCATCAGGCAGATCAAGGCAACTCTGGGTGGCTTACAATGTAACGAAACACACAGTACATACCCAAAAACAATTAGAAATGTAAAAACAGATTAAAATTTACAAAAGATTACGAACACATTTTCCTTGGCAGATTAACCTGACAGCTGGAATTGATTTTGGAGTGGCAGAGCAGAATTTGTAGAATATTCTCATGATCCCAATTTAAAGCAAATGCTTTTCTCTCTCTTTGTCTCTCTTTTTCTTTGTATGTGTTTGTGGTTGTGCATGCATGCATGCCTTTGTGTCACCTTCGTGTGACTCCTTGGCTACTGCTTGGATTAGTCCCTGTAATTTTAGGGACTGGCCCAAGGTCACCCAGCTGGCTTCATGTCTAAAGTAAGACTAGAACTCACAGTCTCCCAGTTTTTAGCTCAATGTCCTTAACCACTACCTCAAAATGGCTCTCAAAATATTGAATATACTCTTTTGTCTCCAGATCACTTTAATACCCCTACAGAAGGAGATGAAGACACCTCCCCCATCCCAGGTTTAAGGGTAAAAGAACAGTGTTACATCTTGGAATCACCCATGACTAGAAGTTGTGAACACTTTCTTCTGGAGGAAACAGGTCCATAACTTACATCATTCTGCAAATGGCTGTGCAACTCCCTTTTGGACATCTGTTGACTTTGCGTTGAAGCGTGATCTCCTGATGTGGCATCAATCCATTTGTTTTCAGATGTACCTATAATTTTGGTAGCCATACTGGTAAGATTGAGGATTTTGTGCCTTGCAAATGGCGGGAAAGGCTGGTCTTTGCCCCAATCTGATTGATATGTGGAGATCAAAAGAAATTGGAAAGGTAGACAGGGGGAACGTCAAAGTGTAAAGGGAATTGACAAAAATACATCCAAACAACACATAAAGAGGAGAGAAAAAATATAATAGAGGACAGGAGAAGGAAGGAGTGATTTTGGGTGTTAATGTGGAATGTCCTATTAGGGCTTTTTATGATAGACCGCCTTTTCCCCAAAGCAAGAATTAGTCAAAAGTATGCACAATAAAAGCAAGTTAATTAACAGCAACTATTTTATACACCAAGCAATAATTAGTCAAAAGCTTGCACAATAAATAGCAAGTTTACTAACAGCAACTTTATTTTAAATTAGAAGAATTTCAAAACATTGGGAAGTAGAGTTGATCTTAGAGTCTTCACACATATCGTTGCCTAATGAATGGGGGCATAGACAAAATCAAAGTACATTGAGATCAACTCTTTCCAAGAACATCCTTACTCCAGGAAATGACTTCCCAATTTCTAGAAAGTAAACTTGCTCAGCCAGCTGGTGACAGTGTAATTCATGCAACAATGAGAAAATAATAAATATATTTCTTGCCACAAATGCTTTATTTTTTTTACAAAAGCAGAAATACTAACTGTAGATACTTTAATGGAAACAAACCACCAGCTCCTGCTGAAGGCTGTAAGAATTCAGAACTCACCCACCATAATACAACTTAGAGGAAAGAGGAGACAACTCACACTGCACTCAGTGCAAGTAAACACGCACCCTTCCTTCCATGCCGCCTCACGTCCATAACAAGGCATCCATTTTCCAGGGCTTGGAAAATGGCAGCTTCCCACTCGCCCTGCTCCAGGTGTGAAACACTGGTGCCCCCAAGGGACAGGATTTCATCCCCAACTTTCAACTGGCAAAAATCTGCAGGGCTCCCTGTCGAGAGAAAGGCCAATGAAATCACATAAAACCTCCATATATCCAGCGTCAGATTGTAGAGCATGTTAGTCCAAGCAACTCTCTCCTGAAGTTTTAAGGAAACCTGCTTTCAAGATTTGGGGTCATTGGCTGTATTGGCTGTATTGGCACCCTTTGGAGCAGGTGTGGGAAAGCGATGGGGATGAAGTAATGCTCTGAGCTCAAGTCACAAGGCTTTGCAAAAGTACCCCTTTGGAATGCCGGATGGTGCCACGAAAGTTTGTGTGACACCAAGAAAGGGATATTTCTTATGAAGAAAAAGAAGGCCTTTTTATTGGGGCGGGGAGGAGATCAATGTTGGAACGAGACACTCCAGGATGGAAAGTTAGCCCAGAATTTCTTGCATAGCCCTGAGATCCATAGTAAAAGCTGTTAGGAGATGAGATGGTCCTGCATTTGAATATTAATATCAAACTGTTTGGGGCTTTAGAAGGAACCAGCCGATCCTAAAAGCAAGTCAACTTTGCATGTCAACAGTCTTTGTTTTTTTCACATTCTTGCAAGCTGAATTCTTTCCTCCCCTTTCTCCTTCTCCTTTTCCATTTTCTCCCTTCCCTTCCCTTCCCTTCCCTTCCCTTCCCTTCAAGGAAAATGCAAGATTTAAATACTGTTGTTTACCTTCTTCTATTGATTTTACAAAGACACCAGAAGGATTCTGGTACACGGCAAATCCAAAGCTACGACTGCTGCCTGGTTTCTGATTTATACTGATTCTCATATCGCTGTATTGCTCCTAAAAAATGAAGGAGGAGGAGAAGGATACCAAAGAATGTCAACAGTCATTCATTCACATTACCTTAGCTAGTCTTTTTAGATTGTTTCAGGCACAACTAGAGCATTCACTGTTTATATCCTGTCTCTCCTGACATTTTAAGTAATTTAAGAACCTTCATGTGGTTTGAAGTGTTAGAAATCAATCAAAACACTAAACCAGGGGTCTTCAAACTTGGCCCTTTTATGACTTGTGGACTTCAACTCCCAGAATTCCTCAGCCAGGCAATGCCTGGCTGGGACTTGAAGTCCACAGGTCATAAAAGGGTCAAGTTTGAAGACCCCTGCACTAAACTAAGAGATGTCCAACAAATATAGCAGTCCTTGACAGACAAGAGTTGAGACCATCCTGGACTAATTGCCACAGAGTAGTGCAACTAAGAAGGGATTTCCTGCAGGATTAACCACTGAAGCTACTTTTTGTCTCATCAAACTGTTCTCCATAAGCTCTGGCACTCTCTAGCCCTCTTCTGACCTCTCTAGAGAAAGTCTTCTGAGCCACAGAGAGTCCTAGAAAACTGTTTCAAGTCTAACTCTTCCCTCACATTTATGACTCATTAGAAGAACCTCCCATTTATTCCCCAGGTTGACCACCTCAAGATTCCCTTCTCTAGGAAAGTTATCCATGATCTTCTCTAGCTTAAAAGTAATGCCTGATTCTTTGTGGGGTAGAGCTTCCTGTACTTTGGAAAACAGAAGCATTTCTCCAACTTACGTGCTGTCTTGATTCCTCAGTGCCTGAAAGGGTTCTCTCCTTGGGAGCAGAAGATCTAACGGTCATTGAATCACGACCGGTGTGATGATCTGATTTAGGGTCCAACTCAGGTGTTCTCCTTCTCTGCTCCTCCAGTAAGTGGCTTGTCCTGGTTTTGCTGCCTTCTGCAACTTGTTGCTCTATCTGGCCTTGGCCTTGTTGTGACCCTCCTGTCTGAGCTTCAGATCCCCTGCTGTGCCCTGACTGAGCATTCCTGGGCCCTTCCATTCCTCCATTGTATTTCATGGCTGCATCAATCTGGAAGAAAGATTTTTAAAAGAGACATTTTCAACATTGGCCTGGGCAGCATCTACTGAAAATCTTCCTCATGTTTTCCCAGCCCCTATGTGCCTTGCTAATTATCTGCAGTGTTAATACAGTATTGTTGTTTGCTTTAAGTCAGAATGTTCTGGTCTGAATGAAAGCATGAAAGACTAGGTTGCAAGGACATAATAGCAATAGAACTTAGACTTATATACCGCTTCACATTGCTTTACAGCCCTTTCTAAGCAGTTTACAGAGTCAGCATATTGCTCCCAACAATCTGGGTCCTCATTTTACCGATCTCGGAAGGATGGAAGGCTGAGTCAACCCTGAGCCAGTGAGAATCGAACTGCCAAACTGCAGTACTGCATTCTAACCACCGCGCCACCATGGCTCATACACAAACCTATATAAGTCCAGATTTAAAACACTGAGGCTGATGGGTTGATATACAAATAGTAGACAAATAGTTGCAAATCCAAAGGGAAATAATTTTGATTCCTTTTAAGTAAGTAGTTTTACCATTTCTCTTGGAAATCTCCCTAAGGGGGTTGTGCATCTATATACAAGAATAGATATACATTATATTTTCTTTTTTATATTTTAGATATGAGACTGCAGATATAAAAGCAATTAAAGTGTGAAATTAGCCAGAGTTGTTCTCTTTAGATACAAGCCAGGTTTTTTTTACCGTAAAGGACCTGGGAAGCGAGGAGATTCCTCTCATAGGAGCCCCAAAAGGCCTCGGGGTGACCACTGATGTCAACCTGGCAGTGTCGGTCTTCTGATAACTTCTTGGTAGAGAGGCTGAAACCCGACCAGATCCAATTTGGGCATTTGATGACCGGGAACTTGGCAAAGGGGGCTCCATCCTTTCTCCAGCCAGGCTGTCTACTGAGGTGAGAGGCTCATCCTTCACCCCACGTTCTGGTTTCTGGTCCCTTAGCTCATGATCATCTTCCCTTTTCAAGCCTCCATTTGCCTCGGTTGGAACACAGACTTGGGGAGATGGTTTCTCTTCCCTAAAGACGTCATCATTTGAGAAATACGATTGTTCCATCTCCTGCCAAGAGTTCCTCAGAGGAGCTTGATCTCGCCTCTCTCTAGAACAAAAGGAAAAGCTTTGGGTAACCTATGACCTCACAAGTAGGTTGTGTGTGTGTGTGTGTGTGTGTGTGTGTGTACAACTTGCAAGGTTGCAGTTATGTTTGATTCAAAGGGGACACAGCAGGATTCAGGGCTGTTCTACAACACTCTTCTGTTCCCAAAGTAAACATGTACTATTTTCACGATGCTGGTGGCACACTTTTCCTCTGGACTTTTTTTAAAAAAAATAATTCTATGTTAGATAAAGAGGATTTGTCCACGTTTCAAATTAAAAGGTAAAATCTCTAATGCCGCTTGACCATCAGGGGAATATATTTTAAGAGCCAATGGTATCCAATCCAATCCTCGATTTACAACAGTTCTTTTCGTTGACCATTTGAAGTTACAAGGGGAACTGGGGGAAAAAAAGACTTTTGTTTTTCACACTTTGCGCTGCAGCATTCCCACAATCATGTGATCGACATTCAAATGCTTGGCAACTGCGTACTGTTTAAAAGAGAGTTAAAGGAGGTTATAGATATGTTATTTTAATAGTTGATTAATGTTAATTAGAGTATGATTATGTTATTGTTAACCCTGTGATTGGCACTGGGAAGTGAGGGGGGAGGGAGGGGGGGTGGAAGAGTGGGAAGGGGAAGGGGGGGATTTATATTGTAAAATTTTATAAAATTTTTAATAATAAAAAAAAAATGCTTGGCAACTGGCGTGAATTTATGACTGTTCCAGTGTCCCGGAGTCATGTGATCCCCTTTTGTAACCTTCTGATCAGCAAAATCAATGGGAAAGCCAAATTCACTTAACAACAAGGGATTCACTTAATAACTGTGGGAAGAAAAGTCGTAAAATGGAGCCAAATTCACTTAACCACTGTCTTGCACAACAACAGAAATTTTGGGCTCAATTGGGGTTGCAGGTAGAAGGCTACCTATAAACAGAATTTTATTTGTGCGTTCCTTCTTCTTAAGAAACCACAAAGCGCCTCCTGCGTTTCATTGAAAAGAACTCTGGATATCTGATAGCATCAAACGAGGACAAAATGAAGCAGGCCAAGAAAGATCTTTAAAAGCCTCTTTTGCAGGGCAAACATCACCCATTCCCCACAGCCCCTCCAATTCTCCTCAATAGTTATATAAGACTTGTATTAAGAATGCAGAAATGGAGCTTAAGTCAAAGCAGGTTGGTTTGCGATCCAGAGACAAATCAATATTGTAACGGAACAAACAAATAAGGAAGTTGAAAATGAACCCAGCTAATATGGCGACATCAGTGAGGCTTAAATTAAAAGGTTTCCTTCAAAACGATGTACTGAAATTATTGACCTATTTGGTAAATTAATTTTATTGATATGAGATTGTTATCATTTCATTATTTAGGAATCCAATTATCCAATCACTCCGGAAAAAAGAACTGACAATTAAATATGCCGGCAACTGAGCGTGTAAATAAAGTCAAAGACAATCAATTAAAACCAGTTTGCTGCTGAATTCCAGCCAACGTAGAAAAGATTAAGCCTTTAAAGCTGCTAGACATGGCTGGCTAGTATTACCTGTCTCTCTGCATTTCTTTCAGGGTTTTGCTGCGCCGTTCCGAGCTTTCCGAAGCTCTTCGCTCAATTTCTTCTCTCTCCTCCTTTTTCCTTTGCAGATCAGAGGTGTGGCTCCTGCGCCTACTTTTCCATTTTGCCAAATCCTACACAAAAAAGCCACAGCAAGCAACGGTTAGGTAAAGCCTCGGTCTACAAGCTCCTCCAGCTGAACACTCAAGGGCCGTGTTCCCTGACCAAGAGTGAGCAGCTGACTGTTTTCACCTGAGATACCTATTGTGTTGCCTTCTCAAATGTCTTTTCACCAGCCTGTCCCCGATCTGAACAATGGCAGCCTTTCAGCTTTCTGACGCTTGCTAAAAGGTTTTGCAGGAGAAAATGCACCTGCTGCTCTAAAATGGAAGCTCGCGACATTCCAATATTCCTTCCTAATTTCTACACAAATCCTAACTTCCAACTTTTTAGGCTTTGTTATTCAAAGCAGCAACGGGAGCTGGTATTTTTTTTTTTATTATTAACCTGATCACCCAGCTCAGGAGCATTTCACATACTCTTGAATTACCTGGTGTAATTCGAAAGGGTGACTGAAAACCAAAACAGTATTGGATTCTCAGATGCCCTAACTGAGGAATGCATTTCCACAACAGTGATTACTTCACCGTGGTGGCGCGGTGGTAAGAATGCAGTATTGCAGGCAAATTCTGCCAACTGCCAGCAGTTCAATCCTCAAGGTTGACTCAGCCTTCTATCCTTCCGAGATCGGTAAAATGAGAACCCAGACTGTTGGGGGTAATAGCTGACTCTGTAGAGAGGGCTGTAAAGCAATGTGCAGCAGTATATAAATCTAAGTGCTATTGCTATTGTTGTTGGTGTTAATTTTAGCCTCACTTTCAGATATTGTTGTTATTCCCACGCTTTAGTCTATGAGAACATGTGTGTGTGGTATGCAATTTCTTAAGAACTAGCCACCTTAATGGTTGCACCTTCCAGTCTTGGATTCTTCTCTGTGTCCTTTTGGCTCTAACAAAATTTAGGCCTTTCAATCATGTATGATCTTTCTGTATCATGATCTGCTAATCAATTTTATATCTGCTGTTACAATATTTGCTATCTGCAGCTGTCAGTTGATTCTGTCTGTTTTTTTCTCAGACAGAAAATGCACCTTGCTGAATTCTCATCTGAGGCCAAGAATCACCACTGGAAGAAAAATCACATTGCTTTTCTAGCACTTCTATTGGAAGATATGGAGACCAAAGCTAGCGAAAGCATCTTTTGAAGTTCTTCTGGGCCTTTAATCCATTTTCCATTACTCTGTTCCCACCCTCAGCCCTCCTCCCACTTCTAAAGGAGAACCCAACCCACGTGCCATCCCATCTCCTACTTCTGATAAGCACGGGATTAATGGCTGCCACCCAAATTCCGTTTCTTGTGGACCGTCTTTTAGAACCACCGAGAGGGACTGCAAAGAAGGGTCTTTCCAAGTCTTACATCTTGCCATTGCTGATCTTGTTCCCGCAGCTGAGTTTTTATTCTCTGGAGCTCTTCGTAACGCATCTGCCGGATTGTTTGTAGCTCATCTGCACTGACGTCATTCAAGGATTTACTCCTAGAGGTAGAGACAGACTTTTAGAGTTCCAGACCATTTCCTTCTTCAAGAAGGGATCGAACAATCTGATTAGCAGAAATAGGACTAGATGCTCTACAACCAGGCACTTTTTGGTGGCGTGTAGGGTGAGAATGCTTTGCTGCACCTATGAAATGGCCATCTCAGAGCGTCACAAAATTGTGGAGTTGGAAAAAGCCAGAAGGATCCTTTGGTCTAACCCTCTACAAGGGAGAACCAATTAGGAGAGATGGCTCTCCAGCCTCTTCTTAAGAAACTCCAGAGATGAAGAAGCCACATCTGTCACACTGTGAGGCAATAGATGTTACCATCAGATTTTTTTTCTCTCCTTATACTTAAATGAAATACAGGTTTCTAAAATCAGTTCCTGACCCTCTTCCGTGGGTTATCCTTTTATAGAGCACTTTACGTAACTTTTAATGATTTTTAATGAAAGGGTCTAAATATGAGATGGCCATTCCCACCCGTCTTTTCAAGGCTCTGGGTCAATATTTAGAAGAGCTCTCTTCCAAATCCGTAACTCGGGACACTCTGAAAGTTGCTACACTGAATATCAAAGTCTGCCTCCCACTTCATGGTCAGGATTCTCTTGGGATGCAGGAGAAGAAAAAAAAAAAAAAGATTCCGTGATCATGTATTTCCTGTAGTCCTAAAATATGCTGAACAAAATAGACTGCAAAACCATAGTACAAAAAACTAAACACTGCCCTTTGCATCTGATCTTAAGCATTACAGAGCAAGTGGTCTCCCACTTCCTATTAAGGAGTTTCTCCATAATCTCACCAATCTCCACCCTCCCTACAACAGATTTTGACATCATGCATAAATGCAGGTGGCCACAGTTGAAGTTATGAGAAACAACGGGGGAGGGGGGAGAGACGCTAAATCTAGATCAGTGGTTCTCAACCTTTTTAATGCCGCGACCCCAACCGGTCATAAGTCGAGGACTAAACCAGTCGTAAGTCGAGGATTAAACCGGTCGTAAGTCGAGGACTACCCAACCGGTCGTAAGTCGAGGACTTTCCCTGCCCAGGAGCGCCACGCATGCATGGTTCCGCCCCCTGCGCCGGCCGAGGCATAGCTGGCAAGCGGCAGAGATGGAGCAGGCCGACCACCAGCTGGCCCAGCCCAAGGGAGGTAAGGCACCCGCCGGAAAAGGGGGAAAAAAATGGCAGACAAAAAAAAAATGGCAGACAAAAAAAATGGCGGACAGCCTTGCTTGGCAACCCCCATGAAATGGTCGATCGACCCCAAATGGGGTACCAACCCACAGGTTGAGAACCACTGATCTAGATCGTCTTAGGTTTGTCCATTATGTGTGGCTGGGGTACCCCAACATTTGCACTATCCCTTAAAGTGCACCATGAAGCTATGTGGCTCCCCCATTGAACAAAGGGACACATGGTGTAGGCACGGGCAAGAAAGAAACAAATCCCATGTTTTAAAGAATTATGGCACAGTGTTGGTATAATACAATGTGATGTTGTGTTTTATCAACCAGTTAATAGCTTCATCCTATAGTAGGTGAGATAAGCTATTATGGCTTATTTAACAAGCCATACAAGAGACCATCCGTTGTGCTCTGAATGCTTCCTCCAGACGGGAGGTTCCTTCAGAATCCCCAAAAACAAAGCAAAAGAGAAGAATGGGGGAAAGAATAATCTTTCTTCATCTCCCAAGAAAATTCCATAAATGAGATTATAAATGAGGTTATAAATCTAATATATCTATTTTATATTTATTTTGGAGGAGGAAGAGGAGGTGAAGAAGAAGAAGAAGAAGAAGAAGAAGAAGAAGAAGAAGAAGAAGAAGAAGAAGAAGAAGAAGAAGAAGAAGAAGAAGAAGAAGAAGAAGAAGAGGAGGAGGAGGAGGAGGAGGAGGAGGAGGAGGAGGAGACGACGACAAGGGAGAGAAAAGTAACATATGACAAAACTCTTCACTTTATAATTAATAACAAAAGATCTAAGCACATCAGAGTCGACAGTTATATGTCCCCTCGCAGTGACCCTTGATGATTCTGGAAGCTGATAACCGGTTAGGATGGAGTTAATCTCCAAACTGATCACGGATCTGGTCCTCTTCCAAATCCAGCTGCCCCCCCAACACCTCCCCCCACTAGATAAGACTTCAAAGAAGTGATGAAAGACTCATGCATCTTCACCCAATTCTCATGTGCCCCCCAACCCCAAGGCAGCCCCCATGCACGTCAGCAGCATCAGCATCAGCCAAAGCAACTCTCAGAGATCAGCCTGGACCAGCATTTCCTTCGTGGCCTATCTTTTCATTTCTCTTTTCTCTTCTTTTCTCTTTCTTTCTTTCCTTCCTTTTCTTTCCCTCTCTCCCTCCCCCTTTCTTTCTTTCTTTCTTTTCTTTCTTTCTCTTTTTCTTTTTCTTTCTCTCTCTCTCTTTCTTTCTTTCTTTATTTCTTTTTCCTTCCTTCCTTCCTTCCTTCCTTCCTTCCTTCCTTCCTTCCTTCCTTCCTTCCTTCCTTCCATTCCTTTTCAGGGTTAAATCAGCTATCAGCTAATTGATTCATCCTCTTGTCCAGACAAATAGATTGTCTCCCCAAGGGGATTACAGTATATTAACTAAAATCCAGGGCAAACAATAATTCAAATAGAATATTAAATTCTGAGATGCAGCCACAAGCTTTCTTTCCATCTGGAAATAAAACAACCCTTTCATTTTCATGGATCATTTTGGGCTGTAGAGTGTCCTGATAAAGAGCATGGTGAATGGTGATTAGAAGATCTTACACATGAGGGGTCCTTGTTATTCCCTGAGCTTGGTTGTTTTCTTAGAGATGAAACAACAAGCTCAGAGATAACCAAGGAACCCTCATTTCAACCCTGAGCAATAAATATTCATCTTTATCGGAATTTAGAAATACTAGGATTGACAACCTCTTAGTAACATTAGTCCAATCCTAACCGAACTGAAGAGGCCCTTCAAAATCCTATTTTTAATTGTTTTTACAAACTGTTTTCTGGCTAAACTAGATGGCTCAGAGTCATGGGGTTGAATAATGCAAATAAATAAATAAAGCTGAAAATATGCATCTGTTTCCAAAATGGCCGTCCTGCACCTTATTCTTCTGCCGCCCAATAAGATTTATAAGATGTCTCAAATTATATTGACAAGATGGGCTGCTCTTGCCCTATCTCTGCCATCAGCTAAAAAAAAATGGAGTAGCCTTTACTGATGTATTTGTATCTATATCTCTCTCATCTGTCTCTATTTGTCTGTCTACCTGTCTACCTACCTGCCTACCTCTCTCTCTCCCTATTTCTGTCTGTCTGTCTGTCTGTCTGTCTGTCTGTCCGTCCGTCCGTCCGTCCGTCCGTCCGTCCGTCCGTCCGTCCGTCCGTCCGTCCGTCCGTCCATCCATCCATCAATCCAGTGGTGGATTTAGCCGGTTCGCACAACTTCAATAGAACCGGTAGCTGATTTTTTGTTGACTTTGGCAAATCGGCTGAAGCCCTAACCGTTTTTCGCAAGGCCCAGAACAGCCCACTGGAAGTGTGTGAATGCCACTTCCAGAACTCCATTCTGAGCCTCGGAGGCCTGGGGGAGTCCTCCCAGGCCCAGAACAGCCCACCGGAAGTGTGTGGATGCCACTTCCAGAAGTCTGTTTTGAGCCTCAGAGGCCTGGGGGAGTCCGCCCAGGCCTAGAACAGCCCACTGGAAGTGTGTGGATGCCACTTCCAGAAGTCTGTTCTGAGCCTCAGAGGCCCAGGGGAAGGCCTCCCCGGCCCAGAATGGACCACCAGGAGTGCATGAGCACCACTTCCAGAAGTCCATTCTGATCCTCAGAGGCCCGGGGGAGGCCTCCCAGGCTCAGAACGGTGCATTGGAAGTGTGTGGACACCACTTCAGGAGTCTGTTCTGAGCTTCAGAGGCCTGGGGAAGGCCTCCCAGGCCCAGAATAGCCCACTGGAAGTTCATTGACGCTGCTTTCAGAAGTCCGTTCTGAGCCTCGGAGGCTCAGGCCCAGAACAGACTTCTGAAAGCGGCGTCCACACAGAGAACCTGTTGTTCAGGTATTTGAATCCCATTGTATCTATCTACCTATCTACCTATCTACCTATCTATCTACCTATCTATCTACCTATCTACCTATCTACCTACCTATCTATCTATCTATCTATCTATCTATCTATCTATCTATCTATCTATCTACCTATCTATCTACCTACCTACCTACCTACCTACCTATCTACCTATCATCTGAAAAAATCATATATAGACTGATGCTTCAGGGGTGCCTTAAGTATTCTGAGTTTGAAACAGGCCCATTTTGGACTCAAGCATTCTCTTTGGTACAGTATCAGATTTCTATCCAGAGTTCAGGAGAGAACAAGCCACTCAATTTCATGCTGCAAAAATGACCCATTTTCTTTTAAACTGCTCCAAGTCCTGAAAGGGTGGTGTGGGGAAGCCGGTTCGGCACACGTTCACAGACTGAGAATAATTTTGAACATAAGTAAGAGGTTGCTGCCTAAGACATTGTTTATATTCTCTCTAAAATTCTTTACTGGAATTAGGAAGAAAAAGCTGGAATTAAGAGTCCAGGAATGGCAACATAAGGCCGACTTTCCTGTAGGTTGTGATTTCTTTTTTTCAAGCGATTGCCAAACATAAAACGTATATTGTGTGTGTGGATTAGAAAGCGATAAGGAGCCTAAGAAATACGGGTTTCAGGTTTTATTGTGTGGCTTGTAAGTTGTTCAGTGCATTTAATACTGTAGCTTCTACTATTGTTGAGGAACCCAAAGATATTGTTTGGGGTGGCATACATTGCTGGCTATGGGGAAATAAACATTTTTTAAAATGTTTTTCAATCCATGTTCTGCTATTTCCCTTGCCTGCTCAGCTAATCGTCCTTATTTTATGGCCCCTCAAACATTTTAGGCATTTTTCTACATAATATGGAAGGTTTTGACTTTCTGGTGGGATGTTTGTTTGTTTATTAAGCTGCTTAATCACCCACCTCCCTCAGAGAGGGGCTCAGGGCGACATACAATTTAATCAATACTATAACATTTCAAAAACCAAATAATTTAAGATTAAACAATGCTCTGAGTGCGGCTGTTTCAGAGACCTGGGACATGCAACTGAACACCTCCCACACTTACAGACAACATCAGCATGATGGCTTGTGACAACTGGCTTACGCAGCAACAGCTACATTTTATTTTTGACTTATTGTATTTATTTCTGACTTATTTGGGGTCTTTAGCCAAACAGGAGCAGAGTCGCCAACGTTTACCAGAACCGGAGCTGTTTGTGAGAATTTGCAAAGTTGTGCCTAGAGTTCGCTGCCCCCCCCCCCAGCTTCCAAGTTAGTCTCTTGTGGGTTTTCAGGGACAGCAGCAGCAGCCCCTGCAACCCCTTGGGGGGGAGTCCCAAAGATGCTTCCGCGGGCGCTTTGCAAGCCAGTTGAGCGCCAGACCCAAAGCACATGCACACGTGGCCTCAAGCAGAGTTACAAGGAGATCAATGGGAAGGTTAGGGGCGTTCACGGTCTGCCATGCTTCCGTCATTCCACTTACCCGTGTTCCTCAGAAATCTTTTGCAACAGCCTGAGGGAAATCAGAAAACCAACAAAAGTTCATGTGTCCCGTTCCACTGGCATTGCCGTATGTAACGATGCCTACAGGTTCATGCCCACCTTATCAGCTACAGCAGCCATTGAGCTGGAAAAGGGGCACGAGGTCCCTGCAACCAGCTCAACAGCTTCGTCTTTTGAAGAACCATTTTAACTTTTAACTTTTCAATTTGTCCTTAAACACTTTTCTGCCCTCTGTTTCTCATTGTTTGATACGGACCATGCAAATGTACGAGCTTCACTTATGAAAATGCCAATGGTTACATCACAGTTGTACATAGAGCATTTTTCACTATTTCAAACAAATTTTAAGGCATGTCAAAAGCTTAACACACGGGAAAGAAATTAGCTGCAGCTGCTTTAGACTCGGTAGATTTTTAGAATGTAGGTAAGTTGTCGACTTACAACCACAACTGAGCCCCAAGGCTTCCATTTCTAAGCAAGGCAGTTGTTGAGAGAGTTTTGCCCCCATTTCACCATCTTTTCTTGCCACTGTTGTTAACTGAATCATACAGTCATTGAGTGAGTTTGGCTTCTCCCACTGATTCGGCTTGTCGAAAGCCGCTGGGGAAGGTGATCACATGAACCCGGGGCAACACAACTGTCTTAAATACACACCTGTTGTCAAGCACCCAAATTTTGATAATGTGGCCATGGGGATTCTACAATAGTCATAAGGGTGAAAAACGGCCATAAATCACTTTTTTAATGCCGTTGTAACTTTGAATGGTCACTAAACAAATGGCTGTAAGCCGAGGACTACTGGTACTAATTCCAGAACTGCTTAAAGACCATGTGAATCGAATGCCTGGCACCTGCCCAGTTGGTGGGCATAGGAGAAAAAGAAACCCAGTAACAAAGGCTCTTGTCAGCAGAGAACTCAATACATGGGTGGAGCGATCAAGTGTTTATTCTAAATTTAATATTTAAGTTTAAGAAAACGATCAGCTTGCAGATACTTGTTTCCCAATGAAAAATGCACAGTTGGTCCTTTGGAATGAGGCGGTGAGCAACGACACGGAACACTTAAAGAAGAAGTTATGGCTGGTGCAAGGAGAATGGAATGGATGAGGTCATTTCAAGATGAAAAAGACTTTACCAGATGAACATCAGAAACCTCATTAAGATTGACCCAAGACTGTGTCTTCGGGGTGAACGATGGGGCCAATAATCAGCTCTCTAGAATCCAAGCTTCTTCTGTAAAGATTGGAAAAACCCTCCCATATGAGGGGAATTAAAAACAAAAATCAGTGGATATGTTCCTGCCTTTTTCCCTCTCCCTCAAGTATAAATAAACATGTCAATTTCTTTGGAACTGGGCTTGTTTTCTGAGCAACAAGGAAACAATTCTGGACAATTCAGACAATTAACAAGGCTTGGGGGAAAAAATGGGGTTATAGAAACTGTTTTTTTAAAAAAAAAAGCCGAATATTAAGCCGGCGTGATTCAGGAGCACACATTCTGAAACAGTTTAATAGACATTAATTAATAGTCAAGCCAGATTAAATATTGCCAAAATATAGATTCTACTTTGATCTGATCAAAGGAGTTGCAGGCTGAGCAGCAACACATTAAGCCCTTTGTGAGGAAAATAAAATTGGAAAAGCAGTTTATCTTCCTTCTTTCTCATTTTCAGAGATGATTTTTAACACGATAGAAGCATTTTATATTCACATAAGAATTTTTTTTGGAAATAGGCTGTCAGTGATTATGGCTTATGTTTATTCACCCACAGACTTCAAACATACATCATTTTTCGAGAACAATTGCATACTAAGTGGTACCTGCTTCTTATTAACAACAGAAGCCTGTATTCTTGACCCACTACAATAAACATAGTCTTGGAGTTACTCCACAAATAGATCTCTAACTTCTGACAGATGGATTGCGAGCCGTTGATGACCTGAATGAGCAACAACAGAACTGATGGGGATAGACATGAACATCAAGCTTAGACGTCACACCAAGACATGCTTTGTTGAAAACCAAACACCACCGTTCGCTTCCAAGCATTATTTCTAAATACTCAGATGCAAGCACGATTCCATGCACGACCATGAGCTGACCTGTCAACCATTTGCCGTTTCTTATGCCTGATTCTGCTGGCCTCTCTGATGGTTTCCCATTTTTCCATATCTTCTTTGCTACACACTCCTGGAGAGAAGCTCTTGCGTTGCATCTTCCCTCCGAGGCTGAGCAGCTCCATTTTTCGGGTCAACATATCGTCTTTCTTTTGCCTTGAAGAAGAAGATAAGACTTTTCCTCTGCTTTCACGTTCACTCTTAAGGGTGGACTTCTCCAGCAAGCATAGAAACTTGGCCTGAATTTCTGGGGGCAGACTCCAAGGGTCTGGGAAGAGGGCCGGCTGGTATTTGTCAGGGGCACCCGACAAAGGCACTTCTCTCTTTTGCAGTTGAGCTTTGCGAACAGTGAGGTCATCTTTTTCTAAATCTGGAAATATTTCCTCTTCTCCATCTCTGGGCTGAAGCACAATTTCTCCTTCGATCCATGGGCTTTGTTGACAAGACCTCCTAAAATACTCCAAATCTTGGAGAACGACTGGATTCGCGTGGGAGGCACCGGTCTTACGGACGAACAAATCATCGTTTTCCAAATCTGGGTAAAAGTCTCTAATCTCGTGGATTCTTTGGTCACAGCCTGGCCTAAGGTAATTATATTTTCTGCATGTTATGAGCCGAGGCCCTGAAGATGGGTCAACTTTGGTTCTATGATCAGAAGACAGGTGGCCCTCTGAATACTTTTGCAGGGCTCGCAGAAATAAAAACTGGCTGAGATATAAAAGATACACACAAACATTAGATTTGCAGAACGCCGTAGGTCACAGAGACCACAAACTTAGCAAAGGTTGCTAGCCTTAGCAAAGGTTGCAACTTTAGCAAAATTTATCGATTCTGGGCTCTGTCATTTCTGCACATGAATGAAGGATTCTCCCCGTAGACAAAGATCTCGTCCACATCAGAAACGGATGCAGGAAAGAGAGGAAAAAGATTGCAATACTTTTCCCCTCTCCTTTTACTATCATAGCTGGAAGCTTTCAAAAAATATCTATTAAGGCACATCCCCTCAAAAGAGGTCTTCAGCTGCTGAAGTGATACAACCCAGAGAAAGTTTTGCCGACTTAACAACCACTCAACGGAAAGGAAGAGCAAAAGATGCAGACACTCCAGAAAAGTGCACAAACACACACGGAAGCCAGGCTGGCTTGGATGCCCAGTTCTTTAAAAGGACAAGACTTCTACTTTGGGGTAACAGCAAAGCAGGCCAGCCATTGTAACAGGCACAGGTGTAGCAACCAGCAGACATAAAACAATCCAGATCACTTCAGTAGCATGAATTCCAAATGCTCAGGTACAGAGATTGTACTAGAAAGACAGCTTCCGTATCAATATTTCACATCCCCGTTTAGCAAAGCACAAATGCCTTCACTCAAGTCAACCCATCTGGCTCATGCAATTGTAGGAACCTTGGCAGTTCGCCTGCAGCAATTTCAGTGGTTGGCTTGATGGGCTGAGAATCTTCTTGGCATCTGATGCCCAAGCTGTCCATGATGCTATGGCTGGGCTGGACTTTTGCATCCTCCTCTTCAGCATCTGCCAAGCTACTGTATGGGATCCCACATCGGGAGAAGGAGAAAAGGCAGGAAAATAAGTCCTGACCGAAAATTTAGGTTGCAGCAATCTATTTCAGCCAAACAACACAGAGGCCACAGGCACTGATGAACAGAAAAAACTATCCACTGCAATTGCCACAGGCAACAATGGACACCTCCGCCCCCCCCTCCCCCGTGTGCATTGACTCCAATGAGTTAAAATGAGTTTTCTAGAAATCAGGTTGGATGCAGAAAGAACATGCAAGATGACAAACCTGAATCCTTGAATTTCCTTATACCACTGTTTGGAAAAAGATATCCTTTGTGCTTTTTTCCAGTGCAACTCTTCACCCGGAGCCCAAGACTTAGGGAGGAATTTATGAGAGGAAAGTTTTACAGCTGATACAGCAGCACTTATTTTGCGAGCATAAAGGTCATCGGCTTCAATGTCTGGGATGCCCGTGGTTTTCTCCTCCTCCTCCTCCTCTTCCTCCTCCTCCAAATAGTTGGAGAAGTCTGCAAGAATGTAAGTTGCTGACTTGCGTTCCATCCCGGGCCCCAAAATTCTTCTGTGGTTGCTGCACAAAACATCCAGCGAAGTTGGATATATTCAAATACAAACAGAAAAACTGGCTTTTGAATACAGAAGACCGTCTCGCCCTTTGTCTTAAAATTACTGACTTGTGAATGAAGCTAAAGGAATTATGAGTGCAAAACCATTGTACTAAACAAGTACGAACATGTTGAATACATGTAACCCTTCTAAGAGAATAAAATTATAGGAATCATTATTTAAAAAAACCCAAAACCCTTCTGATGGAAGACATGTCTTAAAGAGACTGCCAAAACATTATTTACAGAAAGCTTTTCAAGAACGGATTATTTCGATCAAGAGAGCTGGATATGATGAACGGGTCAAGGGGACAATGATCCCCAAATCCTTTCTGATGGTTACCAAAAGGGGAGCAGAAATTTTTCTTTGCTAAGGACCCACATTTTGTCAAGTCCTCTACAAACACCTGAAGTATTCTCACTTTCCTCTCCCCAGAGACGCTATCGTCAGGCCAATAGATCATCAGTGGCCATGCAACGCCACTATTACTTAGTCCGATTCTCTGCAGAGATTGGCCCAAATAGTAGTTGAAGAATAGAAAGAAAAGACTAGCACCAATGATGTTACCTAGTTTGGCTAATGAAACATCTGCAAGAAAACAACCAAGCTCAGAAAGCACCAAGGACCCCTCAAGAAAAGCGACAGAATATAATTAATACCCGTGGCAGACACTAGAATCGTGTGACGTACAAAAACCATAGCAAACAAACACTTGCAGTCAGGCGCAGCTAGTCCCTATGAATTTCAGAAGGTAGACAAGGAAAGACGCTCCTGGTCTACCACCCGACAGTTTCTACCCTCTTGAGGAACAGCCTGTCTGGGGTGGGAGGGAAAGAAGGAGCCTGAATGAGAGTTATAGCGTATTTTAGGTTCCAACCAATGAACAGCAAGTTTTACTCTCAATAATCCTATTAAAGAGACAGAACACAAAGATTCCAATTTTACCATAAGAAAAAGACGTGTAATGGTTGATAGTGATTAATAAACCTAGTAAGCTTTAAATAGAACCCAACATTGTCCAGACATCCTGCCTGAGCAGGGGGTTGGACTAGATGACCTCCAAGGTCCCTTCCAACTTTATTATTATTATTATTATCTTTCAGAGTTCCCAAATTAAACTAAGATGTTCTTCAATTAAGTGTACTTGGTTTAGTTTTAATTTACACAGTTAAACGGCGGAATTGGTGACAACTACTAGCAGAACCGACCCATCACTGCAAAGTTATCTCAGTGGTTTTTCACTGTAATTTGAATTACTAGCAGCTGAAAGGCAATCCGAGGGACCAAGGCTATGAGACAGGAGGCATCTGATATTCACTAACCTGATCAACTGATCAAGTCTTAGATTCTTGGCTATTAAAGGGGCCGGCATAACCAGAACTAGCAAATGGTAATAACTTTCCCTTCCCCACTGGGTCTCTCACTTTCCCAGTTTGTTTTGGTTTAGCAAAGCATCCCATCAGCATCAGGATCAGTCACAATTTGCCCTCGGAGCTAAAGGTTCAAATTAAGCCTTGCCGCTCCTAAAGATGAAATGCTAAACCATTGCTAAGGGAAACAGCAGCAGGAAAATAAAATTGCATCATAAAAGAAGATGGTGCATTGGGATCCAACAAGCAGATTTTCTCAGCCTTTGCTGTAATCAGAGGGTTTGACATATTTGAGCATTGCGAGAATACCTCGAAAAATTTCCATCCGGTTCAGTAAATACGGGACTCGCCCAGCTTCTTCTGTTATCTTCGTTCTTCTCGATTCTCTTCTTCCTTAAGGGAGCTGGCATATAAGTTGGTGGCTTGGTTTTGCTGGGCAGGAAACGGTTGAATTCTGCAGCAGGCTTGGGTTCAACCAAGGCAACTCGACGGTGGGACATGTCATCTTTGCCGGGATCGTGCATTCTGGCGCGTGTCTCAGAATCCGTGTCACTCTCAAAATCTTTGACAGATATAAGAAGGAACAAAGATCCAGTTAAAATGTAAGAACTGGGGACCCACAAAGTGACAATCAAATACTGATCGGTTCATTGCTTTCTGTTGGAAACAAACAGACCAAACGGCTTTTTTTAGATGAACGCCATAATATCGCATCAAAATTAACTTCGTTCATCTTCCAGGAGATCCATTCAATTTTTTTAATTCCTATTTTAGACTTGCAAAATGATGCATTAGTCCCAGCCCAATGCCAAAGACAATGTTCCATTCTAGAATTTGCAGTACAGGTAGTCCTCAACATATAATCACAATTGAGCCCAAACTTTCTGTTGTTAAATGTCTATGGAGATAGTCATCCAGGTCATGGTTGTCGCAAAGGGTGCTTTTTCAGGAGGCAACTGGGCTTTCTTGTTTTTCTTTGAAGACGGAACGCACCCTTTGCGACAACCATGACCTGGATGACTGAGAATCTCCGTAGACATTCAGCTATGCACTTTGGGATGAACACCCTTTGAACGGTGCAGGAGTATGAATGGATTTCTAGAAAACATTGCAGATTACAGGAATCATTTGCACTTCAGTTTGAGATGCAGACAACACAGACTCATCCCCAACAGCCCACACCTGTCATCAACACTGAAGGGACACAGGGCAGGAAACATCCTGCAGCCAAGAAGGCTCCACACACATTTGCACTACTCAGGTGACCCTGAGGACCCAGATAAACCTCCAGGTGGCCTCAGCATCTCTCTAAAACAGGCATGTCAAACTCGCAACGTCACGTGACGTCGTGCGACGTATCGGGACTTTTTCCCCATTGCCGGCAATGGGGTGGGCGTGGTTTTGGTGTGGCGCATCCGGCCCGCGGGCCGGCAGTTTGACGTGCCTGCTCTAAAAGAATGCAAATGACCAGCTGTCTGCAAGGAGTATAAATCCTTCCATTCCGCACCATCCGGTCAGAGCCGAAGAAGCTTCTTGGATGAGAAGCGAAAAATCTTCAAGGAAAAACAGGGGAGTCCAGTTGCCTCCTGAAAAAAGCACTTCTGCTAAGTTTGACAATTGTTAAGTGAATTTGGCCCCATTTTATGATCCTTTTTGCCACGATTGTTAAGCGAATCATTGCAGTTGTTAAGTTAGTAACACGGTTGTTAAGTGATTTTGCTTATCAGAAGGTGGCAAAAAATGATCAGGACACTGCAACCATTATAGGTATGAAGCACTCACTGCTTCTGGAGGCAGTTTGTTCCACTGGTTAATTGTTCTAACTGTCAGGAAGTTTCTCCTTAATTCTAGGTTGCTTCTCTCCTTGATTAGTTTCCATCCGTTGCTTCTTGTCCTGTCTTCAGGTGCTTTGGAGAATAGCTTGACTCCCTCTTCTTTAGGGCAGCCCCTGAGATATTGGATCACTGCTATCATGTCCCCCCTGGTCCTTCTCTTCATTAAACTAGACATACCCATTTCCTGCAACCGTTCCTTATATGTTTTAGCCTCCAGTCCCCTAATCATCTTTGTTGCTTTTCTCTGTACTCTTTCTAGAGTCTCAACATCTTTTTTACATCGTGGTGACCAAAACTGGATGCAGTATTCCAAGTGTGGCCTGTCAAGGACTGTATCAGTATGCATATGAATGAATCAGTATGAATGAATGAATGAATGAATGAATGAATGAATGAATGAATGAATGAATGAATGAATGAAGGAAGGAAGGAAGGAAGGAAGGAAGGAAGGAAGGAACAAACAAACAAACAAACAAACAAACAAACCAAACTCTAACGCTGAAGTAGAACCCACTTTTTTAAAAAGAAAATCAACGCTTTCCAGTGCAAACTCAAGGGATTTTGCTAGAAAGGAAAGTTGGGTTTGGAAGTGAGTGAAAAGAAAAAGAATCTCCCACAGAGCACATGAGACTGGAAAGGAAATCAGCTGGGATGGAACTGAAGCACTGAAGTATTGATGTAATTATTTTTAGAGGTCTGAATGATGAAATATATTGAGCAGAGCTGAAACGAAGGCTATATTTTTAATGCCCAAGAAAAGGAATGATGAAAATAAAGTTCTAAATCAGTGTGAGGAGGATCAAAGGCGTAAAAAATTCAAACTTCAAATAGAGGATGTTTGTGACTTTTTTAGCCTGTGCATCCAAGCTAGGGTATTTAAAAAAATTATTGCTCTTTTAATTCTCTTGTATTTTTGTTGCATTGATGACTGTATATCTAATGTATGTTTTACCAATCATTTCAAGCCACCGTTCGAAGCTCACAGCTTGAAGTTTACTGTAAATTGCTTTGGGACTTGTGTTTCTGTTTTTAATGAGAAGCAATTGGCAAATGTTTTAAATAAATAGCTTACGATGCATTTTTTTTTAAAATCAGTTGCTCATCATTAAATTTTCTGTGCCTTCGGGCAACCTAATGGACAATCTAAAGGATAACCTGAGAAAAAATAACACATTAAAGGGAATGCAGCAACGGCACCAAACAACACTCGACTTATTTCCAAAGCCTGTCTTCTCAATAATAATAATAATAATAATAATAATAAATTAACCTAAAGCACAGGAATCACCTTCACTGCCACCTTTCAGAGTGAGATCCGAAGAGAAGCTGGTGGAAGATCTGGAGCCGAAAGAGTCCAAGCTGTCTAAGGAATCGTCCCGCTTGTGGCTGGTGGACAATGAAAGCGGATCAATGCGTTCGGTGCACCAAAAATCCCCGTATCCACTGTCTCTCCCACTTTGTTTGGGGCTGTAGGATTCCCCCAGGGCCTGTAGGAGAAACAGCACAAAAGAGGGGTGTGTGTGTATGTGTGTGTGAAGTTCAGCAGAAAGTCTGTAGGATTCAGAGACCAAAGCCTCTTCTCCTTGCCGGTATCACAACTGACAGAAAAAAGGGCTCCTAATTGAAGCTCTCAAAGGCTATTGTTTTAGTCCACAGGTTAAAATGAGATCCACACAAGAAACAGTTGGGGGAAACCGCAACAACCAAGGATGAATCTCATATTTTCATGGGGAAGAAAGGCACTAACATTCCCAGGCCTCTGACATTAGATGGCTGATATTTCTGCCAATGTTTTTGAAGCTTAGGGGTTCATTCATTCTGGGGGATGTCTACCGTCTTTGTTGCCTGCTTTGTCTGTACACAATGAGCAGATAAGAGGGCCAGTGATTATCCTGGTGGGATGTCGGAATGAGACAATTCGCCACAGATAACTTGTCGTGGCCATCTCACCACACAGCCATCTCACTGCAACCATTTTACCATGGCCAACCCAAAAGTAGCCATTTCACTGCGGCCTACTTGCTGTGGGACAATTCCATGTGGGATAACTCAGTGAGATAAATGTTATTCACCACTGTTTCTTTGACATTATTTCCATTTTTGTCAGTGTTATTTCCATCAAAGAAACAGTGGTGGATAACATTTGTCGTGTTGAGTTATACAGTGTGGAATTGTCCACAGTGAGTTGTCCTGCGGCAAGATGGCCGTGGTGGGTTAGCCATGTCAAAATGGCCATGGTGAGTTGACTGCGTTGAGGTATCCTAGACTAGGGGTCTTCAAACTCTGCCCTTATATGACTTGTGGACTTCAACTCCCAGAATTCCTCAGCCAGGCACGCTGGCTGAGGAATTCTGGGAGTTGAAGTCCACAAGTCATAAAAGGGCCAAGTTTGAACACCCCTGTCCTAGATCCTTGGGGTATTTCCCTTGGGAATTCAGAGTGAAAGTCGTCGGAAAAGATTTCCTAGAAACATCACTGAGAATCCATTTGAATTGCCAGTTTGAATGTTTGTTGACAAACATTTGTCCAGCAAGGCAGATGCCGAACAAGGTACTATGAGAGATACAGAGATGCCTGTGATGCTTGTCATTGCTAAAATGATCCTTCCACTGAGGCCTTACCTTAGTCAAAGCTTGTCCAAGCAATTTCTCAAAGGCTTTCAAATCAAGGTGGGGGCCATAATAGGAAGGGCTGCGGGCTGCTTTTCTGCCCAGCCAGTACAAGGTAATCAAAACCTTAAAAATGACAGAATTATAGAGAATAGTTAGAGTAATCAAACGAGGTTCCAGAAGATATTTCTCAATTCTAACATTTCTGTATTAAAAAGCTCACCAAGAGATGCACAATTGCAGGATATGATGAGTGGTTTCTTTGGAATATGTGTGCGTTGCAACCAAGACTGGGCTTGAACATCCTCACAAAAACCCTCCTTTCAGGGATCTCTAAGTCAACTCACCAGATCTCAGTGTATGGAGATATGTCTCAATGATACCTGGGCCTAAACTGTGAAATGTTCTAAAGGTAACAACCAGGAACTGTATCTGGAAGGGAACTCTTAACCAGAGCACATCCTCAGGTGGAGATGTCAAATGGAAGAATGTCATGAGCCAGAGAAGAACTTCTGAAAAGTCTTCAAGGGTGGTTCAATGTCAAGAGCACAGCTTTTTACAGCTTCCTAATTACTTATTTAATTGGGTGTTAGATTTATGCCCTCCAGGAACCCAGGTGGCTCCCCTCTATTCCCATTTTTCCCCATAATGAACACAATAGCCAGGGATAAAGTCACCCAGGGAGAGTTGCACAGCTGAGGTCAGCCTGAACCTCGATCAGGGGTCTTCAAACTTGGCTCTTTTATGACTTGTGGACTTCAACTCCCAGAACTCCTCAGCCAGGCACGCCTGGCTGAGGAATTCTGGGAGTTGAAGTCCACAAGTCATAAAAGGGCCAAGTTTGAAGGCCCCTGACTTAGATCTTTCCAATTCTATTCCCACACCGGTAATTACTTACACCACCCCAGCTCTCTCTTATATGGCTCATCTGTTAAAGATTTTCTTCAGACTGATAGCTAAGCATCAGCCTTTCTGTTCTAGTTCATGAGCATTCACTCCAAGATCCTTAGCCAGTGTTCGCTAATACTGTTGGTGATGCCATCTGCCCACACCCATATTTTCTTATCCTCCCCATGTCACATGAGCATCATTCAGAAACCAACCCTTTCAACAGCTACAGGCAACGCTTCCACAACAGTATCTGTTGTGCAGTGAATGGTGTTTCTATACCACCACTTTCTCCCTTAAGGCCTCTCCAGGCCCACCTAACATACTTAAAAGAAACAGGCAGGACCAGAAGATCCTGAAGCAGATGCTTCATACTTCCCCAATTCTTCCTTCTCCCAGCTGAAATAAATCCTGGAAACTCAGCTGGAAAAGAGGAATACTAAACATAAAGTTCCTACCTCTTTGATCTTCCACCACTGCTCCTCCCAGCAAAAGTTTGCTAGTTACTAATATTAATAATTAGTCTCTTGTAACATTTACTTGAGGGGCGCGATGGCTCGGTGGTTAAAGATGCAGGAAAGCTGGTGGCCCGGGTTCAAGACCCGAGCGCCACGCAACGTGGTGAGCTCCTGTTACTTCTCCCACCTGCTGCCAATCTAGCAGTTAAAAAGCATACAAATGTGAGTAGGTGTGGGAAGTCAGCCCCCCCCCCAGAAGGAAATATTAAAGGGGCAGAAAAGCATGCCCAGTTTTCTTAATAGCCCCAAGTCTCCCTCCCCCAAGCAGAAACCAGCTCTGTAGAAATGCAGATGTAAATAATCCAGGAAGGTTGGAGCCCCCCAGCTAGATGATTAAGAAGACAAAGACACCTAAAATCTACATACCCCACCCAAACTCTAAGACAGGACATCATAGGATTAACTCACAGATGCCAAAGGGACACAGGTCAAAGTTGATGCTACAGGAACAACTCCAAACAAAAGGCTCCAGAGGGTATAAAAATCCACTCCCTACATGTGCTTGCTCTTTTTTCTTCCAGAGCCATCTTTCTGTCTGGCTCTCCTCTCCAATAAACTGCAGCCTTCTTTCTAAAGCAGTCGCCATGTGGTTTATTCCTGGCTTGGACTGAACCACAATGAAGACTTTTCCTTCAACATAGGTAAATAGGTACCACTTCGGTGGAAAGATAACAGTATTCTGTGCACTTTGGCGTGTAGTCATGCTGGCCACATGACCGTGGAAGTGTTTTTGGACAACACTGGCTCCCTCGGCTAAGAAACGGAGATGAGCACCGCCCCAAGAGCTGAACAAATACTTGCCAGCTTCCCCATTGACTTTTCCTATAGAAAGTTGGCAGAGAGCGCTGAAAATGGTGATTATTAGCTACAGCTGATTGCTGCAGTGCAGTGGCCCAGCAGCACGGCAGTATTGTAATGACCACAACTTTGCCAAATTTCAATCCCACAGGAGTCATGGGTCCTGGATTCTGAATGCATGCTGTAGCCCATTTCAAGTTGGGCTATAGGGAAAACCTTTACTTTTGTTTAACATTTACTTCTAACATTTTTGGAATCATAAAAGTTACTGAACCCACCAGAGGCAAGCAGCTCACATTATGGCTATGCTGATCCTGGACTTATGTATAACAAGAACAAACCAGGTAAAAGGATCAAACCTATTTTTCTTCCTTAATCTTATCAATATGTGGATCAAACTAACAGCAAAAAGAAAGAAAAAAATGCATATCTTACATTTTTTACTCTTCGGTCAGTTTCTTCTTGTCTGCAAGAAATACACACATACAGAGTCAGAAAGTTAACTTAGATTAATAGTTTAGCATAACTAATACAGAGCAGTAACTGCAAAACAAAATTGTCTGTCCTAGTCCATCCTCACACAATTAACGGAGACCATAATATTCAAAGAAAGGGGTTTTTTTTAAAGCAGAGAGTCCAGATGCTTGGAGAACTCTTACATCCCAGCCAAAGCACAGCAAAATGGATTCGGATCATCTCTTCATTGGGCAATTTCAAAGTCCTCAAGTTCTAGAGAAGAATTTAAAAATATAGAATCCCACAAAACTCCATCCATTAATTAAGTTGGAAGAAAGACATTTTGCCTGGTAGAGAATTTCACTAGAAAAATAAAAAGCAGATATTTTTGTTGTGTAAGAAAACTGGACTCCCTTGAGAAGAAATCTCATCTTTTGGGGAGGGGGACAACGAGTCCTTGGGTCCCATTTCAGAGACAAAATGCATACAACATCCTTGCAATTCTGCAATTCCAGTGGCTGATTGAATAGCTAACAATAGCTATAACAAGTTACTGGTTTATAATTGTGTTTCTCTGTGTTGACAGAGTAAAGTAAATTTTATTACTTTCCTACACTCCAACTCTAGGGGAAAAATGGATAATTGGCACAGAATTCTTATTTAACATTCACTTTTCTAAAAAATCATGTAGAAAATGAACCTGCAAAAGAAGGCAAATATATGTGTCCCAGGATAATGTTGCAGGATCCAATCTGGTTTGGTCACCCGACCCAAAGGTTTAGTCTTCCGAGCGTTTGGACTTGTGCTGGAGCCCATCTTTAGGGAACTTCTCTCTCACCCGGGTGGGTGAGAAAGAAGTTCCCTAAGGATGTGAAAGCTCAGAAGACTAAACCCAGTGGTGGGATTCAGCCAGTTCACACCAGTTCGGCAGAACCGGTAGCTAATTTTTTGTTGCCCAGGCCCAGAATGGACTTCCGGAAGTGGCCTCCACACAGAGAACCGGTTGTTCACATATTTGAATCCCACCACTGACTAAACCTCTGATCCCAGTGACCAACCCAGTGAACTTATAACAGTGACCAGGATTGGAGGATCTCGATGATAACAATGCAATTTTCAAAGGCCAGAAGTCAAATCAATGACAAAAGTAAGATGGTTTCAAAGAGAGGCACCATGGGAATCATATCTCTCTAGCGCAGGGATCCTCAGTCTTGGCAACTTTATGACTTGTGGACTTCAGCTCCCAGAATTCCTCAGCCAGCTCTGGCTGAGGAATTCTGGGAGCTGAAGTCCACAAGTCGTAAAGTTGCCAAGGTTGAGGACCCCTGCTCTAACGGTCCTGTTTAAAACTGCTAATTTACAGTATACATCAGATAATTGATGGTAGACACAGAAAATTCATCTCAAAATTTTCAGCAACGTGTAGGTTGGTTGCACATTCTCGGACTGACCTCTGTATCTCTGGACCAGTTGGAAAAAGAATCACCTCTTGAATGTGCAACATCCTCTTTAGAGAATGCGAAAGGTCACTTTCGCTTCAAGATACCATAATTGATTTATAAAATGATTACATGAAATAAATGAGAACATTGGTAGAAGAAAAAAGAACACGATGTTAGAGTGGAGAAATATGTCGAAAGCTCTTATATCCTACGTGCTGTTGCAAATCTATACTGAAGGATACAATTAAATGCCTGTCATAAAAATTACTGTGACTTTTTATTCCCAATGATGGATTAATATTTGACTAATTTAAGTACAGGGGGAAAAAAATCCATGCATAATATAATTTTACTCACTTAGCATTCTGAACATTTTAGTATTGTTCCCAAGGGTGAAGGTTGCAAAACCCACCATTTGTTTTAATGAAGAAATAAAAACAGTAAAAGGAAATTAAGACACCCGCACTTCAAAATGCTTCCTTCTCCTGGCCAATACAAATATTTCTATTATATTTACAGTTGGAACAGAGAAGAATGTTCTTTTGATTACTCTGAACTCAGCAACAGGACACCACGTGGCCTGGCTAAGGCAAAATTTGCATTGGATAGTTCAGTGTAGGACTCAAACAATGGGCTGGTTTAAACAGGGGCTTATTCAAGGCAATGCAGACAGCTCAGCCAATCAAGAGAAGGATTGAGATGGCTAATCAAGGATCGGGAACCCTTCTGAAACCCTTAATTTTTTACTCCTGGAAAACGTTGAGTCTCATCAGCTTAACAAATTGTTGAGATGCTTGAAATTGCTAGCACCTAAGGAACATTTCCATTGTGATTATGGCAGGGTGCTGGATTTCTGCTTAGTTTTTCTTTGTTCTCTTTCCTTTCAATAACATGCTTGATATTTCCTCTTGGCTCTTACATAAGCTCTTTTGTTCTTGGAGAGTCACAGATGAAGCTGAAGACAATGGCCTTCAAGTGCTTTTTTTTAAAGCAGCTTCCATAGAAATGAGTAGCATGTTTTATCCTCAGTGCTCTTCACCTGGCCTTCTTTCCATAAGAGGACTCATGATGAATGGCATCAAACAATAGTGGCTTCTCAACCACCTGCCAGCTGAGATAGCCAAGATCTTGCATGGGTGCCATTGCTTAGAACAGGCCTAACCCTAACCCTAATCCTCAGAGACAGCCTGTTCCCCATTATTTCTTCTTCTCTTGTATCAGCTCCCAGGAAGATCAAGACCACTTCACGGGTTCACCAGGGAAGCCATGCTTAATGACCCACCTAGGAGAAAGGATATAGGAGCAATGACTCCTCGTCTACTTGAAGACATGTATGGGGTCCCCCCGAACCAACTTGCTTAGACTGAAGAAGCCCCCGAACCAACTTGCTTAGACTGAAGAAGATAGGCTTAAGATACAGGTGGATCTGGACAGATTTGAACACTGGGCGCTATCTAACAAAATGAAATTCAATGGTGAAAAAAGTAAGGTTCTACATTTAGGCAAGAAAAACCAAATGTACAGGCATAGTATAGGGGGTACCTTGCTCAATAGTAGCAACTGTGAGAGGGATCTCGGAGTCCTAGTGGACAATCACCTAGATATCAGCCAGCAGTGTGCTGCAGCTGCCAAAAAAGCCAACACAGTGCTAGGCTGCATTAACAGAGGGATAGAATCAAGTTCACATAAAGTATTAATACCACTTTACAAGGCCTTGGTAAGGCCACACTTGGAATACCGCATCCAGTTTTGGTCACCACAATGTAAAAAAGATGTTGAGACTCTAGAAAGAGTACAGAGAAGAGCAACAAAGATGATCAGGGGACTGGAGGCTAAAACATATAAGGAACGGCTGCTGGAATTGGGTATGTCTAGTTTAATGAAGAGAAGGACAAGGGGGGACATGATAGCAATGTTCCAATATCTCAGGGGCTGTCCCAAAGAAGAGGGAGTCAGGCTATTCTCCAAAGCGCCTGAAGGCAAGACAAGAAGCAATGGATGGAAACTAACCAAGCAGAGAAGCAACCTAGAACTAAGGAGAAACTACCTGACAGTTAGAACAATTAACCAATGGAACAAGCTGCCTCCAGAAGCGATGAATGCTCCAACACTGGAAGTTTTTAAGAAGAGACTGGACAGCCATTTGTCTGAAATGGTATAGGATTTCCTGCCTGAGCAGGGGGTTGGACTAGATGACCTCCAAGGTCCCTTCCAACTTTATTAGTATTATTACCTGGATAAGTAGCTAAATGTTTCAAACCAAAAGGAAAAGAAGTCCGGTTGCCGTGACTCAACTTCCAGACATCTGCTGGCTAACGTCTTTTCCTTCATCAGTCTTTCAGTGTCTCCCTCTCGTTCTGCCCACAGCTTTAGTCCATACCCTTTACTGCCCTGCACAGCTGCACATTCCTCTGCCCATCGCCCACTCCAATCTTGGACAATAACCTCAGTGAGCAGGGCTTGGGCAGAACAGATGCCCTGGTTTGCTTTAGATTGAGGGAGCCGATTCGCCTAGCCATGCTGTATCTGCTGTCCCCTTCTACTCAACCAAGAATTTACCCATTTGTGCCTTGAGTCACCCTCGATGACCAATGCAGGAAAGGAAGAAGGTGTGGCAGAACTAAAAGGAAGATTCACGTCCTAGAATACCTTCTTCTGGGCAGCTGTGTTTCCATTCCTGGGAAGGCTATTCAATACATTTTAAGTCACTGTTCATCTCAGGCGAGACGTCAGATAGACACACAAACCATCCCGGAAATGCTCCATTTCTGATCAGAATGGTTAGCCCACACAAATACACACCCTACATTGAAATCAGCTCAAGAATGCAAGCAGGAAGTCTTCCTCCATTTTTTTTCTCCTCACTCCATGATGCAGTGAAAGTTGACCATGGACTCTAATCCATCTCCAGTTTAAAATTCTTGTGCTAATGTAAGTTTTGTGGCAGGGAGACCGAAGCACATTAGCTCTTTGTGACTTAAGATTCTGCAGCTATAATCTCATGTCCACGGCCTGGATCCCTCTGTAGATCTGGATGGCAAAGATCTGTTAGGATCTGGAGTCAAAGTCAGAATGAATCCTAGCTGAAATCAGAAAGACTCGCAGCTTCTTCTGCAACCTGGGAGATACGATGTAGATCAGGGGTCTTCAAATTTGGCCCTTTTATGACTTGTGGACTTCAACTCCCAGAATTCCTCAGCCAAGTCATAAAAGGGCCAAGTTTGAAGACCCCTGATGTAGATGAACTTCACTTCTGGTTGCTCTATATACTTCCCTCAAACCTCTGAATCCTTTTCATGGCTCTGCAAGTCTAGTTTGGTTCCTCTCAGATGCAGGAGATGGTTTGCTAGATTTGGGTAAACAGCCGGAGTGCTCTTGATTCTAAGGTCTCAGTGAGACCAATTTTTTGGCTTCTTCTGATATCTTCTGTCACCCCTACTCCTAGCCCAGGGGTAGGCAACCTTGGCTCTTTTATGATTTGTGGACTTCAACTCCCAGAATTCCTGAGCCAGCCATGCTGAGGGGAAAGGGAGAGGTTTTCAAGCTGAGCCATGCTGGTTCAGGAATT